TCTCATGGGTTATTTTAATAAAAATTTACATGAGCTTTAATTTTTCTCTTTCTAGTTTGTGAACTTTGTCTCTCAGTGATTGACATGTCAGAGGTCACACTGGAGCAACGAGGGGTTAAGGGTCTTGCTCAGGGACAATGGTGGATGGCTCAGTGGGGGATTGAACCTGGGTCTCTCACACCTAAGGCAAGCATCTTATCCATTGCGCCGCCACCAACCTCTTAACGGCCCAACGGCCCGCCCACGGGGTCCTGGCGGCAGCTTTCAGTATGTACACACAACTGTTATGTTAACTTCATGCTCATATGACACACCATTTGAAAGCTAAAATCCTCGTGATTCGACCAATGCAAACCATTTCAAGATACAGTCACAGCAGCAGGTAAATCAGCGCTTCTGTCAGACCAATCAGTACAAGCAAAATTGACGCGACTCACCTATGAAGCCTCATAGTAACAAAATGGTCTTGTCAAAGGCCTAGATGAACCAATCCAATAAAAATGTTTAGTCCAAAACACATTATTCCATCCATAAATCCCCAGGGACTGCCGCATCACTTAATATTTGCCGGCAGACGTGGCTCGTATGTCATTATAAGCGTAATAACTCCGATTTGAATGTAAACAACTACGATAGCTTTTATTAAAATTAGCCGCTGAACTCTAACCTTTCAAGTGACACCAAATCCGACCCAATAGGAGGAGCTCACATGTCCGTTTCACAGCCTTCAATAGCCAACGAAAGCCCGCGCTGTAAAGGGGGCCAACTCCTATTGTTTCGTGGGTAGACCGAGCCAATTGCAAGCAATTGTGCCGATGACTGGCACTTTGTGTAGCGAAGGGGCGGTGCTGTTTAGTGAAAACCTGTGTAAAAAAGCCCTTTTTCATGGTATTGGTATGAAATTTAAACTTGGGCTAGGTAAGGCTTTATCCTCTGGCTCCAGAGTGTTTTCCAGCTAATAAGTCCCAGCTATAGTTGTCTGCATGCATTTGTTATTTTCAAGCGGAAATGAAAGATATATTAGTTTTAGTGTGTTTAAACTTCCAGTAGCACTTACAATCATTCTGAGACACTCCAGAGTGTTATCTTTCAGAGAAGCCTAAAACCATGCATATACTCCAAATGGTTGAAGAACTACATTCAATTTACTTTGGATATGCCTTGAATAGGCGTTTTGCATGAATTTTACAGGAATGTTAAGACGTTAATCTGTTGAGGCAATGTGTCCTCTTTCTGGACCTCAGTGTCTTGGACTTTCACAGTCTGTACCTCTGTTTAATCTGCTTGTACCTCCTGTTCTGATGCAGTACTTTGATGCAGGTTCAGAAGAGCGGTGGCCGCTAGCTGTCTAGTTCTGTTGACAAGTCTTTTGTCAGAAACCTTTTCAAATCGAAGAAATCTCACCAGGTTGTTGACAGCTCTAGTTTGATCAGTGTTGGAGGTGAAGCTGAATAAACTCAGGATGCAGGGGGTCATCGTTCTTTTTCCAGAAACAAAGATGTCTTCATTACTTAAGGTTCAACATTTGTCTCATGTAACTGGGGGTTTATTTCACTAGTGGGATTACAAAGGTAGCCTAGATGTGTGATTCAGCCACATGTATGGATGCTAACCATCCATTCATCATCTTAAACTGCTAATCCATAAAGCACGTGGAACTAGAGCCAATCCCTGCTGACATTGACCGAGAGGCTATATGGATGCTAATAATACAGAAAATGTCAACATTATTTGTAGAAACTTTAAAGTTATTTGTGTAACTGTCTGTCTGTGTTTGTCTTTAGCTAACAAATCAGCCCCCTCTTTGTTTCTAGAACAAGGTAATAATAATTATGGCTTTTTAAGAAATGCAGTTATACAGAGTATAAATGAAAAAGGGTAATGTTAAACGTTTAAATGATGAGTAATGTAAGTTAAAGAACCCATATACCTGACACAAAATGAGAACTGCAAATCCTCATTTCTTGGCATGGATTCCAGTGAATGGCAGCAATCCATTTGCTTTGCCATTCTTTTGCTTTTGCCAGTCTGTAAAAAGATAGCTCTGACTTTTTGTGAAATCTGTTCGTATAGTCAGTTGCACAACAGCTCTTCCCCATTTTTGACAGGTTGTTTGTGTTGTTGCTGATTCAAGCTAACGATAACGCTCGTCTTTTTGCCACTCAGCAGGCGGAACTGCTGCGACTTCCGCGTACAGTGATGTCACGCGCATACTCTCTATACCTACCTTGATGATTTCAAACAAATCTTTTTTGCCACTTGTTAACAGCCAATATGGTCCACAGGGGCTAATGAGATTTTATATTTACAGATGCACAGTGTGTGAGCACTCACAGCACCCACTCACAGTCCCTTTACTTAGTATCTGTTTTGTCTTTTATTGTCTGTATTGTCTATCAATTGGTAGTTGCCTTATTTCCATTTTTCAATTAAGTTATTTATATTTTCTGCCTGTTCTGTGTAGTTATTCAGGTCTGCTCTGTCTGTGGTTTCTGTATCTGCTTGCAGGCCTCATCTGTCTGCCTGTACCAGTTGTGAACCATGGTTTGTTTTTCAGTTGTGTTTTGGGTTTCAGTCCTGTCTGTCTGTTGTCCTGTGTTCAGTCTACCTGGTGTTAGTTTATTCACCTCTGCCTGTTTTATGGTTTCATGTCAGTCCTGTGTTTCTGTTTCAGTCTGTTGCCTGTCTTAGTTCTTGTCTTATTCTGTTGTCTGGTGTTTGTTTCATGCTTGGTATCTGTCTGCCTGTCTGCTAAGTGTTGGTTTTTGTTCTCTGCCCGTTTTTGTTGTTTATGTGACAGTGTTCAGTCCGCTTGTTTCCTGCTGTGTTTAGTTTTTCTCTAATCAGTCTTTGTTTCTGCATTTGTTTGGTTCTGTCTGTTCCCTGTTAGTCACTCTGCCTGCCTGTGTGTGTCGTGCTTGATTTCCCTGATCCCCATCACCTGTTGCGCTCCCGCCCTGCTTATTAGCCCGTGTATATATGGTTGTCTGTTCCTTCAGTCGGTGTCTGGTCATAGCTTGCAGTTGCTCCCATGTTACGTGTGTTTGTTACTGTGGTGATCTGGTGCTATGACCTCCCAGAATCCGCGTGTACACTGTCTCTCCCAGGTATGTGGTTTTACTTCTAACGAAACTACGCTTTGCGTAGCCTGGTTTAATTGATCCAAAGCAGAAGATGGAAACATGCCTAATTCCTATTTTCTTTTTTGCGACGCTTCAAAAGTTTGTTTGACAATTACTTGGAAACATGGCTACATTTTGAAATTCAAAGAAATATATAAATACAATTAAACATTTTCTTGGGGTAGGTTGTAACATTTGTATACCTAGCTAACCTTACAGCTAAACATAACAACCTACATTAAAAATGTAGACACACAATATACATGATTTAACTACAAAGAAGGCAATGCAACAACAAAAATAAATTAAGTAAAAAAAAACCTTTCTTACCTCAAAATTATTTTTTCATTCTAAACTTGGCTGTGCCTGCCTACTTTTCTGCCTACTCTGATGTGGAATAAGGACTGAACTGAGCATGTGCAAAGTGAATCATATGATTCCTGATTGGAGAAATTGGATGTGTTACAAGTGACCCATGTTACAACCATCCCTGTTCTGCCCTATAAAGCCTGGGGTAGAGGCTCCTCTCAAGAGTGCAGCATTGGCCCAAAAAGGGATAGAGTCCTATAGGCTAAGGCCTAGTCTTTCTATTTGTCCTTGTTTTCTTATGATAATTTGAAGAGCTTTGTACGTAGTTTATTATTTTATATTTGAAATTTTCTAGAATCTTCATTTGCTAAATACTTTGCACTTGACTTGAGACCACAATAAAATAAAATAAAAATATAAACCACCAAGTGAAGCTTACTGGAATCCCTGTCTAAATGGATATTTACATCACAACATGATAGATACCATTCTTGACAATGACAGTTGAGCAAAACCATCATCATCATAACCAACAAGTCTCCCAACCTAAACAAAAACAACATAGGTAGCTTTATTCATTCCTCCAAACATGATCCATATGAGTGTTTCCTAAATTAGCACCCCTACCGTAGGTGTTTATCCAGGCCTCCCAAAACAGCAATTTTGAACTCTGTTTCACTGACTAGACCTATGTGGAGACTGCAGCAACATGTACATAGAATCACTAACTTAGGTTTAGGCACGTATCCCGGTGAAGGTTAGGGTAAGTGTAAGGGGCTACGGGAGACTGTCATTGCTTTAAACACTTCACATAGCTAGCTACACACTTTGGCTAGCTAACGTAACTACCTAACACTAACACTAACACTATGAAGCCAACGTAGTAAACGCAACTAATACGTCACTTACGTAAGTTACACAACCTACGTAACTTCAATAAAAACATAAATCAATGTTGTTTCACACGGGAATCAAACACTGGTCTCCTGGGTGAAAGCCTAAAAAAATCTCTATCCGTCCATCTAACCCATCAACCAACCAACCGACAATGTTTTGCAGGTCATTTTTTTGGTGAAGACAGTCGCATCAAAAAATATCAAGACTATGTTCCACCACTATAGTGTGACGGCATTTTGATGTGAATCTTCCTCGCCTCTGTCATGATTTCATGGACATGTTTTTGAGTTCTTCCAATGTTCTGATGAAAGATAGTCACAGTTCAGAGACAGAACATGTAGCTAATTTTCTGACATGTTGTTTATTAGCCTGCAGCCACTTCAGATAATTCAGGTTAAAATATAAAGAAAACAAACTGAATAACTTATATTTGAATAACTTCAAATAAATCAAAATGTTGAAAAATAGTTTGAAACTCATTTCACAGTATTTAAAATTTAGTTTAGAGATGAGTTCAAAAATCATTTTTTATAAATACGAATCTATTTTTTCCAACCTTTATTTTAAATATAGCTCACCTTTTGAGTCATTCACATGTAAAAACACATTTCTTTTGTCCTGTCTCATGTGATCCTTTTCTGACGTCTTACTTTTTTTCTTGAACCTTCTTCACTTTCACTTTAATCTCTTTAATCATCTTGGTGTGAAGACAGCAAGACCTTCAGGTGAGTGAACCCAACGAAAACTTCATATTTGTACTGACAGAAAGAAAAACACAGTTTCAGATAATTAACTGTGATTTCAGGAAAATGTGCTACATGTGCTCAGGTGTTCAGCAGAAATTTACTGGTATCAAACAGTCTGCAAGAAAAGATTTTCATTTTTTTGACTCATCTGAAATGATAGGACCAGGTGGTTTCTCATTCAATGTTTAATCTGAATGTTTTCAATACTTTTCTGTGACAAATATATATCGTTACTGTTTTATCTCAGATCGTCAACATTTAAATAAGTATAATCTTTTATAGAGCACTTTTCAAAATCCACCTTGCAAGGTGCTTCACTAAAACGGCAGAAAGAAAAGAACAGAAAAAGACAAGAAAAGATTTTTCCAGTCCAAAACTCATGTAAAATCAGGAAAGTCCCCATGATTAATAAAAATAAGTTTTAAGGAGCTTAAATGAGATCACTGACTCAGTTTTCCTTTAGTTTTCAGCAACAGACTTTCCCAAGGATCTCAGTGTATATGTATGGTACTAAGAGTTCAAAGATACAGCAGGGAGAGAGGCCATGAAGTGACCTTAAAAGTAACCAGCAAAATCTTAAAATCTGTTCTAAAACATACTGGGTGCCAGTGTCAAGAGGCTAAAACAGGATTAAACATGTCAGAGTTCAGTGGTTAAATGCAGCCAGAAAGAGTATTTAAATAACTCTAATTAAAGCCAAAGTTAACTCAAATTTGGTTTTACAACTTTTACAGGAACATTGTCCTCCTTTATTTCAAGTTAACTACAACTTTCAGCCTACGTGTTTTACATGTTTTATTTAAGTCCTCTATTTTACAGAAAACACATTAGTCCAGTTAATCCACACACACACACACACACACACACACACACATACACAGATGTTCAGTTACGGAATTAGTGAGAAAATTTGCTCTTTAATGTATTTTTTAATATACAGAAGTAAACCTAATTTTTATTTATTTTGCCTTATATTTAGATATCTTTCCTGTGATGTTTCCAGCAGATACACTTTGACAACTGCAACATCTGGTGAGTCCAGTCACACAGTGCAAACAGAAATAATCAGTTTTTTGTTTTATGTGCTGACTTTCAGCTATGTCAGGTTGTTTACATTCTCATTAAGGAATAATGCAGGGATTCAAGTCATCTTAACAGCTTGTCCCTCTCAGTGCTACAGAACTAACATTTATAGTTGTATGGTTTTCAATTATAGTGTTTATAATTGTATTTTTTGTAATAACGAAAGACATCCTGTACACAGACTTCATGTTCCACCACTTTAATAGGACAAGATTTCACAGAAATTGGTTTGAGTTCTTTAGATGTCATGGTCATCATTTTAGATATGAGGAAGAACATGTATAGTGTTGTTGTCCAGGCCTCCCCCAATTCAGATACTTAAGGATTAAATACAAAGAAAAAATACAGTGTCAATAAGTGCAAGAGTTTCAGCAGGTAAATTAAGTCAACTAAAATTCATAAAACAAATACAGTAAATGCTGTATGTTGGTAATGCGCAGAAACTTAACTGACATCAGCAGTCAGGATTAAATATTGAGGCCGTGAGGAGCCGTAAAAGTAATGACAGAATTCTTTAAATCTAAAACAAAGTGGAAACCAGTGAAAAGAGGCTAAAAATGGGAAAAGCCGCCATTTCAGATTTCACTGGTTAAACAGAACGAGAAAGTTAATTAATTAATCAAATAAATTAAGTTTACTCATAGGCATTGTTATCTTACAGCCTACCTGTTTTATATAACTCCTCCATTTTATGAAAGTTTTACAGAGAACAAGTTAGTCCAGTTAGTCCACCCACACACACAGTCAGACCTTTAGTGTTGAAGTTAGAGAGGTTTCTGAATCCTAGAGCACAACTCAACTCAAGACTGTCAAGTTCAACAAGCAGTTTTATTATAATAATGTGAGCAGTCATTGTTGCCGGATTAAGTCGTGGAAATCAGAGCTGGTAGTTACTGGTGGTACAGCATACTGGGTGCAGAGTGAGACAAGGAGGCAAGGACCACAGAGAACTGATGAATCTGAGCACATGGACAACAGAGGGTTTAGTCACAGATGTAAATTCAGAGAACTCAAAATGCACAAAAACACTGAGCTGGCCGTTGCGTAGTACCATAGTATTAGTGTTCTCACAATCAAAGTACTTCTGTTGCTGATTACTGGATGTTATGTAGGTGTATATGTGAGGATAGACAGCAAGGGAAGGAGAGGATGCCACACCTTATTTATTTATTTTTTTTGTGCATATCAATGGACGCTTTTCAGCAATGTAAATATTCCAGAATTAGCCCCAAGGCTATTTTCCATCTATAGCCCCCAGCAGGTCATCACAAAGTACAAGGTAACATAGTTAGACATCATACAAAACACCTGAAGAGCAACAACACCTGAAGAGCAACTCCTACACAGACAGGAAAACAAATGGACAGGGAGAAGCTATGCTATGACCATGACAGTTTAGTTACTCAATTAATAAGAAAAGTTGCTCTTTTATTTAATGCTTTGTTTTTGATATACGAAGAAGTAAACCTCATTTTTACTTATTTTGCCTGTTATTCAGATTTCTTGCTGGTCTCCTGTTGAGTTTCCTGTGTTGTTTCCAGCACAGACAACTGCAACACCCGGTGAGTCCAGTCAGAATATAAACAGTGCAAACACAAAGAACAATAGTTACATATTGTAACTCCAGATTCTATGCGTATAGGCAGAGCCCTCTAGGGCCATCGCTATTGGGTAATCCCCCTATGCGCGCATGCGCGGCACTGATAAAACTTGTCTACGCCCACCCACAGTGTGAGACCCAGCCTTCAGCTCCCATAGTGCCTTTTCTTCAGGACTGAGAACCAAGCCCCAGTGAGGCCCACTACTTAGAGGGCTGCACTACTTAGAGGGGGGAAGCATCGTCCTGCGTAGCAAGACCGTGTGAGTTAGCATGACAGCTAGGCGTGTCGCTCTTCCCTGTTACCGAGGGGAGCGGACAGTAGGCCGGGGAACAGTGTGTCTGCAGCTGCCTCAAGCCGACCATGGCGCTGGCGGTCCTTCTTCGGCAAGCTGGAGAACGGGATGGGCGGGAGGAAGGCTTGGACCAGCCGAAGTGATGCCTGATGCTCTCTGCCTCCTGGGCGTTAGACCACATCGTGTCGACCAGGGTCCGGAAATGAGGACCGAAGAGCTCGTCAGAGTGATGGCCGTAGTGGCACACTCTGTGAGCTGTGCGCTGGCCCCTTTGGTTATTTCCTCCTTGTCTTCCTCCGTCATGGTGGTGGAGTTAGCTGCCAGCTTTGGGAAAGAGGAAGCAATCGGTGCCGTGTTGTTGGCAAAGGCCGAGTTCTGGACGGTGAATTGGTGGGCTCTGTCAGTGATACAGGCTACCTACTGTGATCCTGAAGAGGCCAGAAGGGGGCGCCATGCAGTCACCGCCTGAACTGGCTTTACACCGAAGAACGCCGTGAGGTTGAGTTCCAACGGAGGCCCAGGCTGAAACCCTGGTCCGAGAAGCCTTCCACCTTGGTGATGGGGTTGTAGGTGAAAACAGGAGCCCGCAGAGTCTTCGGGTCCAAAGCGTCACCTTCCTGGTACCGAAGGATTGGAAGTATTTGAGCGCCAGTCCACTGTTGTTGAATAAAATATATAGAGCTATCAACTATTTCAAGGAAACACTGATATCCAGGTAAACATTGATTGCATTTAGAAAGACTAAGATACAAATTTAAAAATACCACAGCAAGTCAGTGGGAACTGAATGCATGTTATGCTTCAAAGCATCAATAGAGGTCAATCTATGACCACAAATGTGTGGCAGAGCACTGTTTTGATTGTGCTTATATTTTCTGTGACGTTATAGTTCAGTGTTGCGAAATAACATGAAGACATAGAAAGCGACTAATCTTATTCCATGTATACAATTACTGCATTTAGAAAGACTAACAACATACACATTTAAAACCGACCACTGCAAGACAGTCCCCACATAGGTGTTGGGATTTGAACCTGGGTCTGAACGAAAACAGATGCTTGGGAAACCAGCACTCTAAGCAAGCAAGCTATAGAGGGACACATCTAATGGTAAAGTGCGTTTGCTTAAAAAAAAAAGCTTTTCAGCTACTATTTTGGTGTTTTAAGTTAGAAGACATCTTTAGTTTTTTGTTATCATAGATAAAGTTCAAAGTTCAAACACCTTGCAGGTGTTTAAAGTTGAAACAAATTATCACTGCTACAGGTTGTGGGATTCGAATTCACAACTGGAATAAGAGGTGCTACTTCATGGTCTGAAGTCTAACTAACTGCACCACCCGCAAGCTTGCTAGTACAGAGATAATGTGATCCTTTGTTGATACAAAAAGTGTATTTGCTTGAAAAAATCTTTTCAGCTATCATTTAGGACTTTTTAGTTAGTGCTTGAGTTGCTGAGCATAAAAATATACATCTTGTGTCCAAACTCCAAACAGGGAGGAAGATACAAGTTAAAGAATTAGTGACAGGGGAAGACCTCAGGCTGCAGCTACAACAGGGAGTGAATGAGAGATGACTGAGACTTTCCATCAATTAAGGATCAGAGATAAAAAATTAAACGTCCACTGTTAGCAAACACTAAATACAACTTTGAAAGATCAACATCTTCTCTGCAACCTACAGCTCAAATGGAGTCTGTAGCTGCACATATGCCGGAGCATTTAGCTCTTAAAGTTGAGTAGGTAGGAAGAAAGAAACCCATAACATTTTTTCACGTTAAACTATTAATATAAAATTAACCATTACAGATATCAGCAACAAAAGTAATAGCATAAATCTCCTGAACAGGATGTACATTTTGAAGTTGGAACGAAGAAATAATAAAGAGCGAAGACAACTAAAGTGTGAGAGCTACAACACAATTCAAGAGTGTTGCACCCAATTTTTTACTTTACAATGTCAATTAAATCTCTTTTTTTGCCCATTTTACCTTTGGTAATGAAACTTGCCTAATAAATAATCAATCAATCTCTTTATTTGTCCCTGTAGGGAAATTAGTTTGCAGAACAATGAAGTAGGCATTACATCATACGCACACAGAGAGAAACTTCAAACATACTGGTAAACACATACATAGATACAAACACATAACACATAATTTCCCAAACCCCACACCTTACTACAGATTAAATTAGGAAGACCAGACCAGCTAAGCATCCTGCCTATTTTGGCTATATATGTGCCTTACCTGTTTAAAAACATAATTGCTTGAGGCACAAATGAAGATTTAGATCTATTTTAGGGAAACAGAGGGAGGCAATATTGTCGCCCAGATGGCAGCAGCTCAAATGAAGGGACAAGGGAGTGCCTCTTGTCTCCCACAATGGTTTTTGCTTTGTTCATCATTCTTTCCCTATAGATACATTCCATACTTGGTAAGTTGATCCCTAATAGTTTACTGGCCTTTGTTACTGTATTTGTAACAGACTTTTTCTGTGCCTCAGTAGCATTGCCAAACCAGCAAATGATGCAAAAGGCCAAAACACTTTCAACAAAAGAACAATAAACATCTGAAGCAAGTTGTGGACATTAAAAGATGACAGTTTTTTAGTTGTGTCTTAGTGCTTCTGAGGTCAGACCATACATCCCATTTGCGCTTGGTCGACCACAATGCCACGGTATTTGTAATTTGTAACAGATTGTATAGCCTCCCCATTGATAAAAGTAGAATTTGATGATTGCAGCGTTCTAAAATCAATGGACATTTCTTTTGTTTTGGTGGTGTTTGGAAGGACGCTTGACTTCTCACACCACTTTTACTTACTTTTATGAAAAAAAAACACCTAACCCTAAAAAAATTCTAACAAAAGGTTTCTCAGCTGTTTTTGTTGTATTAGGTGTCCTAAATAACATACTAAAAGTTTGCCAAAGTTTGACCACTAGAAAGGTGTAATTTTCAAGATGGCGTCCAAGATGCGCAGGAAGCCATTAAAATATCCTTTATTATTTGACCTAGCCAAGTAATATTGGTGTCTAACCCCATGTTTTCTGGGTCTATGAATCCATTGGACTTGTTTAAATTGCACTGACATGATTACAAACTTATGGAATACATGATTTTGGGAGATTACTGTAAGGTTGTATCTTTGTTTGTGGTGAACCAGAGATGTAAACGATTTAGCCTATGTCATGTAACTCCTACTCAGTATGTGTTTTTAGACACATACCCTTTTATTTGCTAAAACACAAGACTTGGCATTCAATGTAAAAGTTATTGCACCCAAACGTAACTTAAATTGGATATAAAGGGGGCATTATACTAAACCAGACAAAACTAAATTCATAATTTTCAGCAAGTGACATTGTTGAATTAGCTTGATTAGCAATTTTGACCATGAGTCATGTTGTTGTAAACCAAGAAACTTGCCCCATTTGCTGTAAAAACATAAGAGATGGCTCTGATGTGGTTGAGGTTCATCAGAAGGGAGCTGATGGAATCAGTGTACAAAGAGGCGACGATGTACACATTTCCGCTGGTGAAATACTACACTCAAAATGTCGACAGAAGCACATAAATAAAAAAGACATTAAAATCCAACAAGAGAATAAAGCTGAGCAGAAGAAAAGAACTGCCAGAGTAGCAACTGGTCCTTTCGACAATCAAACCAATTGTCTTTGTCTGTGGGACTACGATAACACATGGAAGTAAAGACACAAGCAGTGTTAAGACTGATATGCTCGCAGAGTCCATTCTTGAATGTTGTGACAATCGTGTAGATCAATGGGCTTTCACTGTGAAAGGCAAGGTTGAGTATTATGGCCAGGATCTACATGCTGCAGACTGTGTTCACCACCACTTATGCAGTACTAGTTTTTGTAACGGATATAACATACCGATACAGTTCCAGAAAGACCCAGATGCAAGACGCAGAAAGTCTGGCCGGCCCAAAAATGAAGATCAGGAGCAGGCGTTCATGAAAGTTTGATCTTACCATGAGAGTAATGATGAAGAACAGTTGACAATTACATATCTTTGAGACAAAATGAAGGAATCTCTGACAAACCCAGATTCTGAACCATATGGAAATCAATACCTCAAGAGAAAATTGAGGGAACAGTACCAGGACAATGTACATTTCACTGAAGGGGAAGGCCTCCATGACATAATGACAATGAGAGAGAAGACATCACAAATACTACGATCTTATTTCAGCGAACAAGAAAAGGATGAGGAACCCCAGAAACAAGCGATCATTCAAATAAAGTCCAATGTCCCATCCGTTACGGATCAGTATCCGAGCACAAAGTCACTTGAGCTTGACTCTGCCCTTTCGTTTGTTCCGTACACTTTTGAATGGTCTATTTGTGGGTAAGGAGACAAGCCGAAAGGTTGCAGGAATTGGACAGGCAATTGTCCAGTCAGCACGACCACGTGCTGTGTTAGCTCCATTACAACTTGGCCTTACAGTGCAGGCCCATCATATGTATCGGTCACAATTCCTGGTGGATACTCTTAATGGAATGGGATTTGCTTCATCATACAAGGAAGTTTTGCGTTTTGAAAAGAATGCAGCAGATTCAGTTGCCCCAGATATGTTAGCGGATGATATAGATGTGCTGGACATGACATCTTTTTGCTGGGCACAATGTTGACCACAACATCTTTACTATT